AATATACACAGAATACACACAATACAATGTAATCTGCTATGATTACACTTATGTATCAAACTATTTCACTTCAATTTTGTCCCTAGAGCTTTGTCCAGTGCCCTGCCTGACACTTTTTCAAATTTTTAAGAAATTATAATATAATAAATAATTATAAAAAATTATAATATAATAATAAAAAAAATGGTCCAGTAAATGGGAATTCTGGGGGCGCTGCCTGATCGGTACCACAGTCAATAGAGTACCAAGTTCGCACATCACTGAGCTCGGTCGCAGAATCGTCGCTGTTGTCACTTTCAGTGCCTGATTACGAATTTCCCCACGAATCGCTAGCAGCTAGAAATCAGCGATAGTGAATTAGAATAACTTGCAGAATTGAGCATTCTGCAAGTTATTCTAATTCACTATCACTGTTTTCTACCTGGTCTAAAACCGCTTTTGACCTACAGGGATGCTTTTTGGATGCCATGGACGTTCTCAAGTTTCCAGGCAGAAAGAACAGTAAAAGTGCAGGCAGGGAACTGGACAAAGCTCTAGGGACAAAATTGAAGTGAAATGGTTTGATACAGAAATGTAATCATAGCAGATTACATTGCATTGTGTGTATTCTGTGTATATCGCATGTTTTCACTTTTGAATTTCCCACCGGCTCCGCCCCCCGCTGTGATGTCCGAAAACGAAACTGAAGTGGCCTGAAAAAGTGGCATCGGGACATCCCTAAACTATGGGGTAGGTGTTTTCCCCCATAGTTCTCTTTAGGGTCACGGGAGGACATATACTAACCTCCTTCCGTGACCCAAAGCTCAGTATATTGAGGGCTATTGCCCCTGATATACTGAGAGCGCCACAGACGGGACAGATCCCGGCAATACTGTCTGGATCCACCCAGCTGCATGAGTGACAGCGGGCTCTGCCTATCTTGCCTGCCCCCTCCCCTGTTTGTTCCTCCACTCAGCACTGGAGGATCAGAGTGGGGAGGGGGGAATCCCTACAGGGAGACGATTGGGAAGTGAGCGGATCGGTGCATGTTTCTGCTCACTTCCCGATCGATAGAGCCGACCTGTGACAGCTTCTTTGTCATAGGTCGGCTCTAACTATGAGGATGAGTGGAAATCACTTACCTCATAGTTCTCCTTTAACAAGCTGTGAACAACCAGAAACTGCCTAAAACAGGACCTACATTACATGCTCTGACAATGTTCCTCGTTCTCTTGTCAATTCTATAACGGAGTGAAATAAGTGAAGTAACATTTTCTGAATGGAAATTAAAATATGTAATAACTTATTTTGGGCACGGTTACATTGAGCAAAGTTCCACATGCAGTAAATAGGTGTTTGGAAATGAAAACAAAGCCATTTTCTACAGCATTTAGCTTGTATTTCCAAGCCTGCCAGAGAAAAAGGACAATGAAGCTCCAAGTAACATTATCATCTTGCTTAGAAGAAAGAATCAACAGTTGGGCCACATGTCTTGTCTAAAAGTGTCTTAGGCCTTGCTCACACAAAAGGCAGTTACTGACTACTTGGCGGGTGGTTCCGACCTTTAGCAAGGCCTGTGTAACAAGAATATTTGATGTGATTCTCAAGCTGCAGCTGCCTATAGTTTAGACTGCTTCAACCAGCAGGCAGACCATAAACCCCCCATTGGCCAGAGGAGCAAACCACTAACAGGTAGCAGTAAACAATGGGATTGGATACACTCCTGCAACCAAGCCAGTGTGAACATAAAAGACTGTTATTGCTGCCAAGAGAAAGTAATCAGATACAAACAGACAGTGAAACACATTCATTTGACACTTTTAAAAGCGAAGCTATAGTTCTCGCTAGGCAGAGAAAAACACATCAATACACCAATCAGTGGCAATGTCAGACTGGCAAACCTAATTTTGCACAGTGATCTAACTAGCTCATTGTATAGCTGGCTGTTGATTTGTACGATACATTTCAGCTCCCTGAATTCAGGTTTCCCAAACAGGCTATAAAATCATCTGGGCACTGCCCTTTCCTCCTCAGTATTAAGTTTTTGTACTTGCTTTGTATAGAGTTGGTAATCTGCACCCTCTACTATTCAAAATGCAGAGCTGTGCAATATTATGGCACTATATACATTATATATATAATAACAATAGTCATGTTGGGTCATGTAATCTGGCACTCCATAAAATATATATATATTCATTCCTGTACGTAGTTAGATTCAAAGATCAGGCAGAAAATGATTTAGCTCACCTCCACCACTGTCTGCACTGTTCTATAATGGATAATTAGAATCAAACGTGTTCCTCGGAAGCCATTCTACATGTTTGAATATGATTAGTTGCATTGAAGCAATGGTGTCCTAATTAAGTATTGTAACCATCATGTCCGATGTAGACTGTATGTATTTTACTTAAATATATTTAACTACATAGTAATCAAGTACATCAATTCTGGGCTGATGCATAGCTTACCTCGTTCCAATCGGGCTCAGTAGTGTCACGGAACACTCTGGTCTTAGCTTTGCTGACAAAATAACCAAAGGAATCCACTTCTAATGTGCAGTAGAGATCTGGAAATACACATAAAAAGGATGTAAACTATTGGATAGTGGAGAATATCCGGATATAATTATTCATTTATTGCAGAGTATATGTATGCTGATCATTATAAAACACCAAAACTACCATTTACATGGGTGAGGCTTACCATACCATTGAACATGATCTAATTTGGCAGTTTGTATGTTCTGATGTGATATAAGAACATGCTATTTGTACACAGACACGTAAAGGGAAAGTATAAAAATATAGGAGCTGCTTATAGGAACTGGACTGTGGCTACCCCTGCACTACAAGGGTTAACTGCTCGTTTTGATCTAGGGGCCAGAATAAAGAAGATATACTCACCTGATCCTCAATCTTCCAACAGTCAGGGCTCACCTCTCTCCTCCTTCCACACCGGCTGTGGAATGTTCTTGGTGTCCTCGCGTCTAATGCAATTAAATGGACTTGCATTAGACATAATGACATCAGCAGTCCTCAGACTGCTGGAGCCCAGGGGAGAAAAGGCTGCAGGGACTGGTCTGACAACCAGGCGGGACTGAGGATCAGGTGAGTATATATTCTTTATTTGTACATTCTAGACAAAAGCAAGCAGTTAATCCTTGTAGCTCCTCTTTAAATAAACAAACTGAGCAGAGAAGCTGATGGGTTGCCATAGCCAACTGCTCCAGTTTTACAAAAATCCCCCCCCAATGTTTAACAAGCCAGATTAAACCAATTGTTAATGATTAGGGATGCCGATGACGAGTATTTGGGCGAGTACTCGCCCAAATGCTCCGATGCCTAGCCGGATACTTCCTGTATCAGGAAGCCGGGCAGCGTGTAATGACGCGCTGCCCGGCTTCCCGATTGGTCGGAAGCTGGCCAATCAGGTAGCCAGGCGCCGTGTAATGACGAGGGAGCATGGAGCCGGCTTCTTGGCCAATCAGGAAGTCGGGCGCCGCGTCATTACACAGCGCCCGGCTTCCTGATTGTCTAGAAAGCCGGCTCCATGCTTTCTCGTCACCTCGACGAGAAGCATGGGGACTGCTTCCCTGGCGAGTCTTTAAAAAAATATATTGGTACTTGTACTCGATATCGAAATACCGGTATGGGTGCATCCCTAGTAATGATCTTTTATAGTTCAGTCTAAGGCTGGCCATACACTGCTCACATTTTGGTCAAGTCCTGCTGACTCAGCCAAAATTCAAGCTTTGAGTGGTCCGCTGCTGCCACCACTCTGTTCAAGAAACCTTGATTTTTCAATCAGCTTTTATTGAGGTACCGGCTTGAAAATTGTAGGCTGAACAGTGACCACAATCACTGTTGGTGTATTTTGACAGCGCTAGACGCAAGCTATCAGAATGCAATAGCCAGCAGGGGAGGTTGGATGGGGGGAAAAAAAGCTTTTTTTTCTTGTATAGTAATGTGGTTATAGTGTATTTTGGGCTTTGCTGATACACAGTGAAATATGATTGATCACTGTTATTGCACATCCTCTCCCTTTGGATCACATTGTTTAATAACCCTGTATGTCTTTTAAGGAAACGTCCAGTTAGTTGGAATTTTCAGGTCAAGGTCAGGTTGTAAGGCAAGACTCTGCTTCATATTGCAGTAATCTTTTATTGTATCCATACTCAATGAGATTCTGCTGAACTTGTGTGTCTGTGATTCATCATTGGGAGACCTGATAAATATTAAGCATGACCCTGTCACAGCTGTGGGATTGGGTTATGCCTCACATGAAAGGAGTCTGAGCTCAACATGTCAGATCCACTTAGTGGTTTTTGATCAAAAGCTATTTTACAACATGGGAGTTCAGGGCAGCATCTAATCTGCAGACACACATCCTGCTCAGTTCCGTCATTGTATGGTAGAACTGTATTCTGTGTTTCAGTGCATATACATGAATTGGATTGGGAAAACCAGACACTGCCAAATACAGCTGTTTCAATGCAATAGGTATAAGTTGTAAAATAAATCTAGCAAAAATCAAACACAAATAGACAAAATCAAGTTATTTTATCTAATTGTTTCAAGAACTGTGCCAGTCAGATTCTAAAAGTAAGCATCATACAGGTAACTATGGGCAATGCAGACAAAAGACGCTAGGCCTGCAACTATGTTTTCTCATAATCGATTAGTTGCCGATTATTTTCATCGATCGGATAAAAAAAATACCATCTTTTATTTAAAATAAAATACACAAATGGAGTGTTACAAAGTTCACCAGTATAAAACTGAATGCAGAATTTTTAGCAAATCGCACACTGGAATGCACGGCATTGCGGTACCACGTGTTCTGGTGTGGGCAACCACAATGCGGGTGGGAGGCACATTAGACATTTTAATTAGTTTCATAGATTTAAAATAATTTGAATTAAAAATTCTGCGGCAATATAATAAAATAACCAAACTTTTATTTAAAATAACACACCAAAATTGGACACAAAAAACAATTATATATAAAATAATATAAAAGCCCGGTCATCAGCGTTAGCCATGAATATTGGCCCGAGAATTATTGTTCTCATTTTGGCGCTACGAGTCACTACGTCCTATACAATGTATAGGAGGTGAGGATGCTGAGGGGCATCAGGTGAGTATAACTGTTATTTTCTCCCTCGACTAGAAGGAACACTTAAAAGCCTTGCAGTGCAGAGCTAGGCTTACTGCAAGGGTTAATAATAATTTTCCCCAGAGTTCTGTTTTAATAGTTTTAAATGAAGAGTGGTAAATTATTTTAGGATCATATAACCACAACACAGAATTCAAAATTCGCTGCCCTGTCCGCTGGGTGACAATGGTGAGCCACGGTGCCTTGCATTGTTACAATGCAAGCCACTGTTTACTTTCTTGTTTCTTTGCTGAACTTTATTTGGAGTGTACAAAATGTACAATCCTTTCATGTCTCTGCATGGCGGCAGTTTACCTAAAATACTGTGACATCCAGTGCACTGCAGAAAAATGCAACATGTCTGCATTTTACTGCAGCCCACAGCACTGCGCATCACACCTGAGTTGTGATGTGAATGAGGTACATGAAAAACAATTGTTTTCTATGTGCCCTAGCGGTGATTGGCTTTGATCTAGTGCAGAAAAATGCCAGTCCCTGCTGTATGTGAGAACGGGCCCTAATATAAAAGAAAAAAACAACACAATACTTCTAATTTATTTTGCTAACTAAGCTGAATTATATATGCTTCACTACTGACATGTCTATACTGATATATTGCTTGCTTAGATAAGCATAGTTAAGAAACGTTATAAAGGCCCTTTAGAGGCCTATAATATAGATAATGGAACCTTTCCAAGCTACAAAAGACCCCCTTGGCCATGAGAGTGTTAATACTGTTTTCCCCATAGAGAAGTGTCCTACACTGTGCAGAGCTCCCGGGATGAGCTCAGCTCCAAGATTTAATACTCAGCCTTGTGGTGCTGCTCAACATACCTGCAGATCTCGTCAATGTCTGTTTTAGTGATTTCAGAGCCGTCACATTCTGTGCTGCAGTCTACGATTGTTTTATAAGCCTTGGTCGGCATGCATGTATATACCATATATAAAGTCAGCTTAATGAAAACCTTGTGTAGCACTGGGACAATGAAATGACCTAATCGACCTAGAAAAGAGCACTTACTGGCAGATTGGCTGAATCCTTTGGCAGAGTGAACAATCACATGCAGGAAACCGTACATTCCAGAAGATTCATCATCTGTATAAAGAGCAAAAATATTTATATTTTACCAACAGTACTGGACAACCCCAAAATGAAATACTGAAACTATGCAAATATTTCACATAACACGGATGCATCTGTAGTATTTAAAGCTGAAGCTCAGGAAGATATAAAAACATCATTTAGGCCCCATTCACACCTGACCTTTTGTAGCGCGTCCTACGCTCGATGAACGCTCTACAAAACGGTCAAAAAAATAAATAGCACTGTAGTCAATGGCCTCGTTCCCACCTGTCCGTATTTCCGCCCGTCCCGAACGCACTACAAAACGGCCCACGCATGAAAAGGTCCCGGAGCGTTTTTTGCTGCGTATTGGTCCGTTTTGTAGGGCGTTTTCCATTAGTATACTGCCAAGTAGCCTTTGGAATTGCGCGACGGTCGCACGGCTTTTTTACCGCGAATCGCGGTAAAAAAAACGCGTGACGGTCGCGCGACAGACGCGCATATTACAATACGCATAGGTGTGAATGGGGCCTTAATGCAACTGTGTATCCCTTTAAAATATTGAATTTGTTTTTGCAATTGACTTCAACTTACTCCCCTGTTATAAGAGAGACAAGGGTAGAACTAGAACACAATCATGCTCTACTGCATACACATTTGTTTAAAGGGAACATGCAGATCTGAGTGAACAGAGTTGATGACATATCAGGGCGTTGCTGCTCTTTAATTGTCCAATCTGTAATCTGTAGACAGGATGGTGACACTAATGTATCCCATAACTGACAGAGAAAGTGGTGACACTGTTGTGTCTGCGCCGACTGATAGAGGTGTATGAATCACAAAAGTGTCTGAACAGAGGTACTCCTTGGCAATTACAGCAGTTTACATAGGTGTATTTTAGCTGTGTATTTACCTGTTTCCCTTGATTTTAGTTCTCACAGTGCATGCAGCTGTTACAGTGTATACAGAACATAACATACTGTTCGTAGGGCTATGGCAAGCTTATCATGTGATTACAATCATTGTCTTTCATTTTTACAAGATTATTTCTTGACGTCATGCAATTAATCCACCAAACAGCCAAAAGATGTTTGTGGAATTCTATAAATCTTCTTTCTGTATAAGAATTACCCACTCTGTTCTAAAGAAAAGCACATTCACCCTAGACTGGAGCCAACTTAAAAGAACACCTTGATCTTCCACTAAATTACTTTGTGAGCAACTGACCCGCAACATGCATTTGTATAAGTCAGTGGTTCACCAGCAGTAAAGGAAATATAGAAGGAAGACAGACATGAAGCAAGCAACTTTCAAACACAAGTTAGGAATGGCAGATCCTTTATTATTTTCCTGACTAAGGAAAGCACATTGTTGCGATCATGAATCAAATCTCTTGCTTTTTTTCCATTTCTCAACAGTATCTAGATCAGTGGTTCTCAACCTTTCTAGGGCCGGGACCCCTTGGTAACATTTGCTAAGTTGTGGTGACACCCAACTGTAAAATTTAGGGATGACGCGGCTGCTGCAGCGACATCTGGCGGCGTGGCAGGAGAACTGACACTGCTGCGCTAGGAGAGGGCTGAGGAGGACTCTCACCTAGCAGAGCAGAAATCACACAGCAACCCATAGGTTGAGAACCACTGGCGTACGCCATCAGGATAAAATAAAAAAAACAACACCATAGGAATGCATAGCTAGATTCCTATTGGCTATTTCACTTTGCAATAGCCAATAGCAAACTAGCTATTGTACCCGCCCTCTGCTGCTGTCAATCACTAGAAGAGGACCTGATGGAGATCTTCAGGTCCCCCTCTGCTGATTGGCAGCAGCAGAGGGCTGGTGCAATAGCTAGTTTGCTATTGCAAAGTGAAATAGCCAATAGGAATCTAGCTATGCATTCGTATGGTGGGGGGTTTTTTTTCTGACTTACGGCGGCCCCCAATGTCAGAAAAAAAAATGATCGCAGGAAAATATTTACACTGCTCGATCAAGCAGAGTAAAACTTTCCGGGAGAAAGTGTTTCTTTCCCGGGCGACCCCTGGCAAATTGTCATTCGACACCCGACGGGGTCGCGACCCACAGGTTGAGAACCGCTGATCTAGATAAACAACAGCTATGGAATATGCATCACATGGCCAAAATTATATGGATACTCCTCCAAAATACTTAGGTTCAGACAGTGGTGTAGCGTAGGTCGTCTCTGTGCCACTTCTGGATTTTATGTGATTACTGCACAGGTGGAGAGGGGACACCCAACAGTCCGACACCCAGGTTTCCAAAACACAACACACACCCACAGGGGGAGCAGAGGTGAACACTATAGAAATAGGGATGCAGAGGGTACAGATGTTAACAGTGTTGGAAAAGGGTTTGATGGTTGCCACCCTCTTCCAACACTGTTACCTTGTGCACCCTCTGCATCTCTCATCTTACACTGCTCCCCCCCCTCCCCTACTTTCTCCTAAGCTGCTATCCACCCAGCAGCTTATCTCATGGTAGGACTCCTGCTCCTTTTTTCCCAAAAACGGCCCGGAACGCATCAAAAACGCGGCAAAAACACGGCACAACCCACTGCACTTGCGTGTGCAGAAACCTGAGCGGATCTGCTCTGCATTTGGTGTGAACAATGCCTTAGAAATCTCCCAGTTATAATTTAGAAAACCCGGAAAGAATTTCAAAGCCAGCTTTTTCCTGGTAAAAGTATTTCTGTCCTGGAAATGGTCAGCCCCTCTGGCTGAGAGTCCGGGGTGACCCTTTTGCCATTCTACATAGTGGCATTGCCACGCACTGCCACAATATATATGTATGTGTGTGGATAGATAGATCGATATATATATCTATAGATATCTATCTATATATATATACACACACATACATATATAAATACACAACTATATTGCCAAAAGTATTGGGACACCCCTCCAAATCATTGGCTTCAGGTGTTCCGTGAAATTTCCTGGCTACTAAATATTCCACGGTCAACTGTTAGTGGTATTATAACAAAGTGGAAGCAACTGGGAACAACAGCAACTCAGCCACAAAGTGGTAGGCCATGTAAAATGACAGAGCGGGGTCAGCGCATGCTGAAGCGCACAATGCGCAGGAGTCGCCAACTGTCTGCAGAGTTAATAGCTACAGACCTCCAAACTTCAGATTGGCACAACAGTGCATAGAGAGCTTCATGGAATGGGTTTCCATGGCCGAGCAGCTGCATCCAAGCCTTATATCACCAAGTGCAATGCAAAGCATTGGATGCAGTGGTGTAAAGCACGCCGCCACTGGACTCTAGAGAAGCGGGGATGTGTTCTCTGGAGTGACGAATCACACTTCTCTGTCTGGCAATCCCATGGACGTGTCTGGGTTTGGCGGTTGCCAGGAGAACAGAACTTGCCTGACTGCATTGTGCCAAGTGTAAAGTTTGGTGGAGTGGGGATTATGGTGTGGGGTTGTTTTTCAGGGGTCCTGACCTTAACCCAATAGAACACCTTTGGGATGGATTAGAGCGGAGACTGCGAGCCAGACCTTCTCGTCCAACATCAGTACCTGACCTCACAAATACGCTTCTGGAAGAATGGTCAAACATTCCCGTAGACACACTCCTAAACCTTGTGGACGCCTACCCAGAAGAGTTGAAGCTGTTATAGCGGCAAAGGGTGGGCCAACTCAATATAAAACCCTATGGACTAAGACTGGGATGCCATTAAAGTTCATGTGCGTGTAAAGGCAGGCGTCCCAATACTTTTGGCAATATATATATATATATTTCACACACACTTACCTTTTCTAGCAGGGGTGCAGTAATAAAGCAGGGAGCCTGGCAGATGGACAAGTGACCACCAGCCTGGCTTCTTGATTGGATAGGAAGTTTGTGAAGCCGCAGCCACGCTCCCTCGCAGCTTCCCAGGCACAGAGGACTGCAGCTGTGTTGTGAGGAATGTAAGTGGCAAGTGCTGCTGTGATCTGTATTGCTGAGCCGGTCACAGAGGGATCTTTGTGATCTCACCAGCGGCTCAGTGACATGGCGCCTGCTGCTGCGGTTTCGGTGTTGCACTCAGGGTGATTGGGTTGTGCCCAAGCACACCAGGAAAACCCTTTGCGCATGCCTATGACAGGAGCATGTACATTCCCTCAATGGCAACCTGATCATACCATGGACGTTTGTTAGTAATATCATTTGTTAGTAATATCAAAACTAGCATTTGGCTAATTAGCACATATCTGACTTGAAAAACACCCAGGTCAGCACATGATGTACTATTGTTCCAATTGCATACTATCTGAGCCCAAACAAATCTAATACAAATAAATAGGCTTTGAAGACAAATAGGGATGTAAATGTGTGAAATGCACATTAGTACACAATAGAGAGTGAACGTGCCTTTATGCTCTTTTGTGTCAGGGCGATACCATGTATATCAAAATTAATATATTCCTACCAAACCTATTTCCATTACTATATTTCCTTGTCCTGAATACAATCTACAGCATGTGACTGGGATCCCTCTGCTGCCCACAATGCAAAATTACACTGCAAAAGGTATAATTCTGTAATAAGAATAGTAATGGCATTACTGTCCAATTAGAAATTAGATTTAGATCTGTAAATGCAGGAAATGTTAAAATTCCCTTTAACGTAAGTAATGTGGCAAACAATCAGTGTAGGGTCAGTATAAAGTAGAGCCCAGTGAACAAAGGGTTTCAGTTTAACAAGTGCACAAAGTAAAATGTAAGCAGTGGTATTTTATCTACAGAGTGTAGTGTATACAGAGGTTCAGCATATCATACTGCATGATGGAAAGTTGGTATACACAGAGGTTTAATGTAGTGCATGCACAGATGTACCATATCATGCATTTTCTGACTTTGGAGCATATTTAATGCTCCAAAGTCAGCCGGTAATCTAACATTCACCAAACAGCTACCGCAGGTGAATCTTGCAGGTGCATGTGTTTTGAATGACACTTATTGATTCCCCACCAGTGGACATTTGCTCAAAAATTCAAATTAATTTCTTTACAAATATGCACCTTAGTGTTGCATGTACATAAACACAAAGTACAGGTCATAGACAGGTTTAAAGAGACACCGGCACCAGGCCATTTCTTTTTAGCAATGATTTTCTCATAAGATTTTTCATTTTGTATCTATTCATGAAAGAAAAAAAAAAAAGCCAGTATAGCTTGAGAGAGATATCTCTCGATCTATACGAGCTGTCAGAATGCCGGCAAAAGCATCTGTGTCCGCCTTTGCTTTGACTCTCTAAAAAAAGGTTAACCCTTTCATTAATGAATGCCTCTGTAGTAAGGGCATCCATTAATGAATGTTAAAAGCTGATTCTCAGCGATTAACAGCCCTCTAAAGCAGCAAATAACTCGTCACGTACAGTGTACGTGACAAGTCATTTGGTCCCTTTGTGGCTGGACGTACAGTGTACGTCTCCCGTCACGAAGGGGTTAATGTACACTGTCTGTCCAAAAAAAGTCACCACCTGGAGTTAGCTAAGCAAATGTGTAAGAGCCTTTCATTGGATAATAGGTCTAGCTTCAGCAATATTATGTGTCCAAAAAAATGAGGGCAGCTGCCTACCTGAATATACTGAATGACCAGGTTTTTCCATCAATGGATTTTATCTTCCCTGATGGTACTGACATATTCCAAGATGACAATGCCAGGATTCATCAGGCTCAAATTGTGAGTGGTTCAGGGAGCATGAGACATCATTTTCACACATGGATTTCACATAGAGAGTCCAGACCTTAACCCTATTGAGAATCTTTGGCATGTGCTGGAGAAGACTTTACACAGAGGTCTGACTCTCCCGTCATCGCTACAAGATCTTGGTGAAAAATGAATGCAACTCTGGACAGAAATAAATGTTGTGACATTGCATAAGCTTATGGAAGCAATGCCACTGCAAATGCGGGCCATAATCAAAGCTAAAGGCAGTCCAAAAATATATTAGTGTGTGAATTCTTTCTGGACAGGCAGTGCATTTTATGCATGCTATTTACATGTATAGACACCCAAAAGCCCTGTGATAGGACATTTTTTACACGGCATAGTTCATTTATTCTTGCAGGGCTCTCACACACCCTCCCTTGAGTGACAGTTCTGAGCCTGCTGGGGCTGCTGACATCACATCTATGACGGCACACAGCAGGCTCAGAGCTGCCACTCAAGGGAGGGTGTGTGTGGGAGCCCTGCAAGACTAAATGAACTATGCTGTGTAAAAAATGTCCTATTATTGGGGGTGGGTGATGCTGCTTGTGACAACACAGTGATTTCAGCATCAAGTGATTCAATTGTTCTCTGCAAAAAATAATGAGGACATATCCTTCTAGTGACTGAAGTGCATTCTGTCTTCTTTTCTATGACTGATTGTAGGGCTTCCAGTAAATTTACTGACAATGTACCTGTCTGCCCCCAACTTGGAAAAGAGGTGTCACCTGGTGCTGTGGCCCCGCACAAGGGCCACATTACATGCATTTATACATTTTTATTTACAGAATTGTCAGCGCTTTATAAAGTGCCAACAATTTCCGCAGTGCTTTATATAGTAATATTTACACCAGTCCATGACCTCATGGAGCTTAAAATCTAAAGTCCATACCCCACTTTGGAGTGAGAGAGGAAAATAGTACCCAGAGGAAACACATGTAAGAACAGGGAGCACATGCAAAACTCATGCAGTTAGTGTCCTGGATGGGATAGGACCACAGTGATGAAAGACAGAAGTGCTAACCCCGAGTCACTGTGCCACCTACATCAAGCACTTATGCCCAGGTTTATAAGGATATTTTTCTTTGGTAGGTGTGGAAGCGGAGGCAGTATCCAAGCTGGTTGTCAAAAACTCTGGTAAGGTTACACTTCCCAATGTTGATTAAAATGGACATAAATACACAAAAACACACTTTTATATAGACAATACATTTTTTAATTGTTATTTACTTTATAATACGCAACTGATGTTAAATCTAACTCCTCCCTTTTTTCAAGTTATTTTGCTTACTAGTCTTGTGCCACTTCTTCTTTTGGCACTGGGCAGTGTTCTTATTCCTATTTTGTTTTTATTGTTTAATATCTGTGTCCGTTTTTGTAGAGAAAACATTATAATTTTATAAAACCACCACCATGATGTAGTTATATATAGGGTTTAGTTTTACACTACTAGGCTCTCAGTTTACAAAGTAAAAGCACCTTCCAAAGGCTGCCAAATGCACTGCAGTTTGTGGAACCGTTTCCATGAGCTTATGGTTTAAGTTATCAACTGAAACTGAACATGAAAGAAGGAAAGCTGCACAGACTCCTGCTGTAACCTTGTTTATTAGTACAACCACATCAAATATCAGGCCGGCAGATGTGAGGTGTACAAAAAACATGGCTGCAGCAGCAGGGGCACACTCCTTCTACACTACATGCTTGCCTTTGAATAGGTTCTTTCACCGAATTTTTTAAAATAATTATTTTTTATATGCATTTCCATAGCACTTTTCTCCCTGGGGAAATAAAGCGCTTAGGAAGTGAGGCAGCCATCTTGGGTGCACTAAATTGAGCCAATTAACTTATCAACATATCTTTGAAGCATCCAGAGGAAACCCACGCAAGAACAGAGAGTACATGCTAACTGCATGCAGATAGGATTCTGGCTGGGATTCAAACCAAGGACCCCAGTACTTTATGGGACAACAAATGGCCTTTGGTAAATGTTGATAAAATTTCCAGCACCCTTGCCAGGTTCTGAGAAGCAGAACATGAAAGCACTAGTATATATCTGTGTCTGCCTGACAGATGTACATGATATACAGACATAAACAGGTAAACACAGAGTTAACATACAACTAAATGTGCCATACATTAAATCTATCTCTAGTTGTATGCTGTATCTAGTCAGCTACAAGTTTGAATTGCAGGACCATCAAAAATAGATATTTCAGATGAAGGTGCAAGTGGTTTGCTTTGGTTGCCCTTGCTGTGTATATGTCTGCGATACTGAAGATGGGCAGAAAATGCACAAGCATCACTGAATCCCATACAGTAGTTGTCATGATCTCCTTGTCCAAATGAACCTTAAACAAACCTGGCTAGGGGAAGATTTTTATACAGAAGAGAAAGTGGCACAGGACTATAATCCTTTGGAAGTATTATTAAAGTGACCCTAAACTCAGGCGTTAAAAATACATTTAAGTACCTTAACTATTAACAAAAATGTATCTTATTTGTGTATCACTCGGCTGTAGATCCTCAAATCATCTCTGAAATGGTGCTGACGCTGTCCATCCTTCTGGAAGGTGGCTACCTTTGTTCCCCCTGGTCCCTGTGTGTGTTGTAAAGTAGTCACCTCTCTAAGCTCACTCCTGTGATAGACTACAATCTCATGTTTAGTTTACTAATTTGTATTGAGATTGTAGTCCATCCTGGGAATGAGCTTGGAGCAGTGGCTACTTTACAACACATACAGGGACCATGGGGAACAAAAGTAGCCATAACCTACATTATTGTTAGTAGTTAAGGTACTTGAATGCATTTTTAAGATTTAACTTTTTTTTTTTTTTAATTAATGTTCAACTTCAAAAGGAACCAGCAGATTTTCTTTCGGTATTTCTTGGTGCTGGTCTCACAAATGTATTGTCTACCAATGATCAACAGCATTAATGGTTAATAATCACAACCATTTAAACACAATCTAGCAAGCAGCTCCACCTTGTGGTGGTTATCATGCTACTACAACCTTTTGACAGCTACACTTACCATCCTTATTGCTGATGATTGGCATGTTATGAACTGTTCGCAGCTTAAAGCAGGACCCAGTAAGTACCTGGAGCTCCAAAGAACTGAGTGCAAATGCTTGTAAATCTAAAAACGAAAGAATAAAATTCTTCAGCCCTTAGGTAATGTAATTGCAAAAATGCAAAACTTTTTTTTTTAACTTTTTCAGGGTAACAGAGATCTGGTGTTAGAGAATACTGAAATGATCATAGACAGAATCTGATTGACATAAACACCTTTCTTCTGCAGCTTCTGAATGACTTCTCTCCACTCTGATCGCTCATAATCTGAAGACAGCAGGAAGAAGTAGCTCTGAAATTCAGCAATATAAGAAAACAAATATTTAGTCACATCAAAGAATTTATGAAGGTATCACTTAACAGATCATTAGGTACAACTCTGCTACAATCTACTGTATATGCAACTGGACTGGCTGCGTAACAAATCAATGTCAGAATTTCTTCGGGTTTTAATTATTCTTTCACAATTTATTCACATATTTAATTTTAATTCATTTATTCCCTTATTATCACCTCCCTCCAGAAGCGCAGATTAACTTGTTTACATTTAATAAATGATACCTGGGGATCCTGCCATGCACTTCGTGTTTTAGCGTGGCAGCGCTCTGCCCTGGTCTCTCAACGCGGTTCTCCTGTGTTGTCACCCTGTCACATAGTACAAGTGGCAACACATTTTTTTTGATTTTTTGATGTTTATTAGCACTTATTAACTATATAATCTATTGGACTTGATCTTTATTGATTCTAATTGTATATTTTATATGGTTGGAGCTTCTCTATTTATTTATAGTGTTCTAGTTTGGTTTTTACACAGTTATACACCTAATAGGTTTATAAATCGTTTTTTGCCCGAACACTTACCCTTCGCTCCTTTGCACATTTTTACCCCTAGCGCTTTGCTTTTTTCGATCATCATTTATTAAAGCATGCAAATGTAAAACTTTAGAACATTATTATGAAATTATATTAACATGTTCAAGCATTTATACAACAGCAATTATGTTTACATATAACTTTTAAAAAAAATTAGACAGTAGCACCTGACCATTTCTCGGCATTTCAAATCCAGGTAAGGGCCTGTGTTGACAAGCCGTTGCTTACATTAAGCGTGTTTTGCATTCCCATACAAGTCTACGAGAATGAAAACCCAAATTTAAAAAGCAGGTCACATGCAGGTCAGGGGGTCACCTGCAGGTCAAATGCACCCGGCAATTCTAAATGATTACAAGTGTCTCAAACGGAAGTGAAACCGATGTCCTTGACACAGGCCCTAAATCTGCTGGAGCTTCTTATGTGTTAGTCAGGTGGGGACAGCCAAGGTTCCCACTGCATTCCAGAAGGCGGGTGCACACAACAAATAATTCTGGGTGTCTGATTTATAAGCTACGCTAATTTGCATATCGTCAGCTCTCCCTGCTTCACAATTAAAATTGTTGGCAGTTACATTTGAAGATCTAAAGTTATAAAAAAAAGAAAAATGAATGCCTTATTAACACATTAAGGGTGCAGTCGCACTGGAATCGGAGACAAGAATGCGGGTCAGTGGAGGTACGCTGACTTGAGTTTGTGTAGTGTGTTGACATCTGTTGCGTTCTTGGTTTTTTTTTTGTTATTTGATTTTTACACTAAGCTATGTAAAGTATTGATTCTGCCTTCAGTTGACATACGTTAGCAGTTCACACCAGTCCACTACATTAAGCTGAAAAAATGTAGAGCCTGCTTTACTTTTTTTTTTTATAGCGGAGGGCAGTGCAACGCAACGCGCTGGTGTAAACTGCTCCCATTTATTTTCAGATGTCCTTGGGTTGGCATCCCTTGAAAAATGGACACCAACGCAAATGGTGTGAATGGGGCCTAAGGGTCTTCGTCATCAGGCAGATATAACCTTACCACGGCTATACTGCTGCTTTGGAGGAAAAAAGGCACATTTGTAAAGCACAGGAGTGAGCTTTACAAATACGCAATGTGCTCTGCTTGCTTCGGGATACTGAAACAATCAATGGGTTGTACACATACATCGAAGGAAAAAAGGCAGTGAGGAGAGATGGGATACATGGCCTGTCAAAGTCATGTGACCAGCCTTTCGTTTTATAAATAAACATTAGATAGTAAGCTCCTTGAGGGCAGGGACTGATGTGAAAGTGCAACTATGCATAGCGCTGCTTAAACTGTTGGCGATATATAAATACCTGTAATAATAATAATAAATACCTGTAATAAATGGGTCATATAATGCAGGCTGCACTGTGGAGTAAATACTGTGGTATGTAGATGAGCACAGGCAGTGGGTACCTGCTATAAATAGCCCCTTAAATATTTCTCTGGTTTTTGTCGTGTTAAAAAGTATTTTCTTATTGATAAATCAAAGCATTATTAGCAAATATGAAAATAACAGCTTGAAGCATCGTGCCCTCCAGTCACTGACCCAAAATAAGATGAGGACTTTCATTTGCTGCACGCTTGCTCTGGGTCTATGACTAGAAGAGTTAAAGCCAAACACAGCCAGGCAACTGCTATTTGTCAGAAAGAGGTCAGCCATGGCATATTTCCCTCATGTGTACATTGAGCTAAACTGAAGTTTTCCATTAAACCAGTTCTACAATATCTACCATCAATATGTGTCACGTCAGGCATCAAGAGCTTAACTGTCTGTTGGGAGAACAGTTCTTGTTTGCCATAACATTCAGATCAACCTACCGGTACGATACTGTACTAGTAACATATAAAGGATGTTCTGATAAGCTGTTAAGGGCAACAAGACCATTTTAATCATGAGACAAAGGTTAAGCATAATAGAAAGCGATCTCATTAGGGAGATGGATACAGATCTGAAGGAGGAAACGTACAGCCGTTTCTTAGTTTTGCTTCACTTTTCTACAATCCTGCTGGCAGCTGTATCTCTCAATAAAACAACGTGTGGTCTGTAAAAGAAATTATTCCTTTGAAGACTCTGCTTTAAAGCAATATGTCCTTGTGATTTGGACTCAAAGGCAAAAAGTGGGTTTAAAGCCAAGTCAGAAGAAGATGTGGAGTGGAGTTCATACAGCTCCCACGCACTAGTTCCCTGGGCAGCCTGACTCACTGCTCACATCAGACGCTGCAGAATTCCCCTTCTGGCATCATCCGATCCATATCGAAATGTTCAAAGTATGCAAATAACCATGGCTGCCTCCCCACAATCCCCAAGTGGGAAAGCCAAAGCGGATTCCCACTTCTATCCCTCATACAACTCCGTCTCCCTTCAGAGGCCACACGGCTGCCAGCTGCAGGCAGTCCTGGCTCACAGCTTACCTTGCCATTCTTGTTGTGGATTCTGAAAGGGATGCTGGGAGAGAACAGCAGAAGCCAGGATTCATATTCAAACATCTTTTTCTTCAGCCGCTCAATAGCACGACTGGATCCTTTGTTGGACTTCTGCAAAGACAGATAAGAGTAAAGAGATTTTAACATATTAGGACACACTAGAAAATGTACCATGGACCGCCTATGCAACCGCATCTGGCCCACACAGCTGGATGAGGACCAAGCTGCAATCATCAGTGTACCACAGTGTAGACACTTTTGGGCTTGCTCAATAAAACAATAAAGTATGTGCAGGAAGCAACGAATCAGAATCCATCCTGTACTGTTCTGACTGGCTGCAAAAAGGTTCCTGTACCTTGTGCTATTGCAGGCATGTCAAACTCAATTTAGTTGCAGACCGTGGGCTATGCAGTGTCTATGGTGGGCTGTGTGGACTCTCAGGTGGCTGTTCAGGGTCTATGGTGGGCTGTGCGGACTCTCAGGGGCTGTGTGGGGCCTATGCTGGGCCGTGCAGGGTCCCATTCGGTCTAAGCGGCTGCGGGTGGCGTGGATCCAAAAGGAAGGAAGGAGGAGATTTGCTGCCAGTGCTGTAAAAAGGTGCCGTGATTCACAGGAAGGCTGCTGGGACCTTGGCAGCTTTCCTGTGAAGCCTGGAGCCTGTTTACAGCGCTAGCTTTGGTTTAAAAATTTAAAGCTGCAGGAGAGGTGCGAGGGGCACATGAAATGGCCTGGTGGGCTTGTGTTTGACACGTGTGCTAAAGGCTTTGCTCCTCCCACTGTTTTAATAAATAAGCCCATTTGCATTTTGTTTCTGTGTTAAAAGAAGGCTCACAAGTATTCCATTCACAAAGGTTAAATAGCAACAATAGGAAGGGAAAAAAATGGTGAATTACTACTGCCATCCAAAAATCAATGCAACTGTACTTAGCTCAAAATGCCCAATAAACTTACCTCTAACATGTTTTATTTATTTGTCAGCCAAATTCAGCTGTCTTCTAACAGGGCTTGTGGGTGGGACTACCTTTTATAACCTTATTTCATTTTCCAATGCACGTGAACAGGGCTTTACAGGCTCAATGACTGAGCAGTGCTTGAACCAGTGAACACATCGGCTTAGGTTTTTCCTCTGAAGTGGGTATAATTAGAGATTAGAGGACTTAACTAATGGGTAACCAGATGCACAAGATAAAAGCCAGGATAAAAATTACAGCAATTTGGCAGCCAGGCCAAGTTTTCAAAATTTGTTTCAAACCTCATTCCAGCTAAAATTAATTTTTTACATTTTTCTTTTAGTTTTTTAAAGTGGGTCAGAACTTCCGTCCTGTTTTCATTGTTGTCAGTGCCCTTATTGAAGAGATTTCCGCTCATTTCTTGTATCCATGACAGTAGAAAAAGAAATTAGAGAGTATAATACTGGGATGGGAAGACACAGACCAATATTGCCAAGTTCCCTTAAAAAAAACATCTAGCAGCATGGCTATTAAGCTGATCCTCTGTATTTCAAATGGGGTGTTTTTCCTGCCAGGCATCAAGAATATTATTTACAAAAAAAGTGATGGCTGATTGATTCATGCACAGCTACTTTATCAGATATCCACAAACTTCCAATAAAGGTATAACTGTACTTATATCAAACCTATGCTTTCCAGTCCCCCTTAGCCCACCCGATGGTACCTATACCATCCCTTTTACTTGTGACCCAGGGCATGAGCTATAGCCTTCTCCAGATGGCACTCTTGTCCTCTTAGACTGTAACAGAGTACTGCTAACGCACAGATTTTCTCCATAGGTTCTAATGGAAAGGTCATTGAATGCAAGCATGAAGGTTGATGCCTTTTTCATTAAGACCCATGGAGAATAGGAATGCCTGGGGTATTCTGCAGAGTATGTAAGTTGAGATAAGTAAAGGTGGCAATAACATAGTTATATGTACAGTTATCCTTTAAAGATAACGAAAAATGTTAGACATAGGTAATTCTATAGGGTGTAAACTGAGAATTTAAAAGCTATAAAAATGAAAAATGTTTCCAAAGATGGAATATAAACTCACAAACGCGAAGGAAAAAGGAGAAAGGTCCCACAACCAATTAGGGTTTTGTTTTAATTTTCAAAACCACGAAAGTAAAATAACAGCTGGAATCTCACTGGCTGCAATGGTAAAATGACAATTATTTGATGTCCTATGGGTTCTGCCTCCAATGATGCTTCAGTCACAGGTGAACACAATATGGTTGCATAGACTGACCTTTTCTTTTTGGATCTCACTCTTCAGAACCGATATCTTTGCTTTCATATCCTCAATCTCATGTTCAGGTGTAGCGTGCAGTTGAGGGATGGGCTCAGACTCTTCCGGAGAGGGGAACACCAAGTCCGCCAGAGGAATGTACCACTTGCAGTCATACTGCTGGTGTTTCCTGTTCATGAAAGACATGAAGTATAAATAAATTATTATCCCAAACACAGAAACCAAAACACTTCCAGAATCTTAAAATGTATTTTATGGAGCTTTAGACTTGGACTTTTATTGCTTTGATGTTTTGCTTTCATGTCAATTCAGCTGGCATGTGAAATCACTTTGAGATGCTTCTCACCTCAGTCTGACCAGATTCAGACCTCCTAAGCCACATCAAACTGCTTTTGCATTCCCCTTGACTTGTATGGGGAGAAAAGCAGTTCTGACGTGAACTGCCAAAGAAAAAAATATTACAATTTCTCTTCCATGCAATTATGACAAGAGTACATTGTAAGCAGCATCTTGCACAGAATTCCCTTCCCCATGTGACTCTCTTACTGCTTTTTCTAGAAGTCTGCACAGGCCCTGGGGTCAAATTACAGGCATCCCCTGCGACATTAAGCACTAAAATGCCATCTTTGTTATGATCCTTAAGAAGAACTCCGGGCAAAACTTTTCTTAACCCTTGCAGTGGGGCTACCCCTGCACTTCAAGGGCTAAGTGGGCTTTTTGGTCTAGGTGCTAAAATAACAAAGTTATACTCACCAGAACCTCACAGCCTACTGGCTGTTACAGCACTGCCTCCAGACTGTCTCCTCCTCCGCTGCAGCAAAGGTATGTCTTTTGGCGCCACTGGTGGAACTAACAGGGTCCAATTGCGACTGGGCCCTGGCGTTCCGCCACTTGGGGGGGGGGGCCCGGCGGGGAGGAGGGGGGGGCCCCCCCCCCCCCCCCCGAGATTGTGCTGCTCCTTCCCTGCAGTACAGCCACCCGCAGCAAGTATGGATGGCTGTGTGGGGGATGGAGAGGCTGTCACCAGTCCCGTGTCACCAGGAGCTGTAGCTCGCGGTATACTGAGCTTAGGGTGACGGGAGGACGCTAGTTTGTGTCCTCCCGTTACCCTTAGGAGAACTATGGGGAAAAGCCCTAACCCCCATAGTTCTTTCACCTCCCTGGCGGTATGATTTTTTCATGTCATTTTTCTGTCTATTTTTTTATATCCCGCCGGTTCCGCCCCCTGCGACGCGTACACTCGCAAGGGACGGAACCCGGAAGACGGATGCCGGCATCGGCCGGAGAACACAGCACGGCTCGAGGGACAAGGTAAAAAGGGTATTTTTAATATGGGGGCCACCAATGCTTGTTTTAGAGGGGTAGGGACAACACCATTAGAAAGGGAGAGATTAAAGATGTGAGTAAGAGTGTAGAATAGAGCTAGAGGGTGACTGGAATAGTTGTGAGGGGATGGGGTCCAGGGGGCAGGGGATAAGGCATGTGTTAGACAAAAGAGTAGCGACTTCGTCTGTAGTAACTGGATCAAATGAGGAGAGTTGTGAGTGTGGCAGTAGACAAGGTGTGTTTGGAGTGGGAGAGGTCTAGACAGTGGAGATTTCATAGTGCATTGCATCAATCTTATCACTGAAATGATTGGCAATCTCCTGGGCAGTCAGTGAGTTGGAGGAGGCACAGGAGTATAACTATTATTTTAGCACCTAGACAAAAACGAGCACGTAACCCTTGCAGTGCGGAGGTTGCCCCACTGCAAAGGTTAAGAAAAGTTTTGCCCTGTGTTCTTCTTTAAAAAGGCACTAGACATCTAAATAATGCTAGGGAATGCAATGTTGTTTATTACTTCTATTATAATAATGTTTAAATCAATGCTAACAATAACAACATGTCCTGGATGTCCCTAATGAAGCCTGTGTAGAGAAAAAAACATTGCTCGTCAATTACCTACTTGACTATTTGCTAGTTGTCTGGCTGATTGAGTCACCGACTACAAAGGAGAATAAAAAATAGGAATCCTCCCTTTGCTGCAATGTGTGATACTGTATGCATTCCAGATACGCATTGAGGATCAACATGAAAGCCGGGCAAAAAATATAGTAGAAGGGTCAGAAACTGCAGTGTATATTTCTCTCTGCATAGGTTTCCTTCCAGTACCTTTCATGATCCAGATGTCAGAAGTTCAGGAGCAACAATTACATCTCTTATTTGTAGTACCACCTGCAGGTGAAATCTGGTATTGCAGCATAACCAAACGGACTTGATATAGGGCGGCTTTAGATTTATTTACAAAACATAAGTTTAAAGTGGAACTCCAAGAAAAATAAATTCACAAGTGCACTATGTAAATCAGCTACCTCTAATGCTTAGTATCTTATGCCCAGTGCTTAGTGCTGCTCTATACTGTACAAATGAGAGCTTCAATAATGCTGAATACTACCGGTAGTAACAGAACTTTTCTTCCAGTGTTGCTGCTCTTCCGGCGAGGTGTTTCTAGTACAGTACTGGATAGTATACTTTACACTCCCCTTGTGCTTCCCTCGTCCATTCACAAAAAGCCTTGTATTCTTATCACTGAATACAAGGCATCCTGTGATTGGACAGGAGGAGGGAAAAGAAGAAGGCGGGTAAACACGCCCCTTCTTCTCCCCTCATCCATTCACAGAACTCCTTGTAGTCACTAATAAAAATACAATGCTTTTTTTGGGAGAAGACAAGGGGAGAGTGAACAGCACTATCCTGCACTGTACTAGATCTGGAACTTTCAGTCACAGCACCAGAAGAAGTGCACTGTGACTAGTATTCGGCATCAGTGAAAGTGTTATTTGTAAAGTACAGAGCCGCACTGCAGGTATGGGAGTGTGAGCATTAGAAGTATCTGATTTACATTGGGCTGATGTACAAAAAAAAAAAAATATTTCACTTTAATACCCTTTAATTACCTATTAAGTAATTAAAAATACAAGCTTTTGGAAAACACTATATTCTTTTATCAGGCATTATACAACAATAAAGGGTATCACTTAAAAGCTAAACTTTCTACATTACTCAATGGCTACCACAGTACAAGTGTACTGTACGAATGTACAAGAATTTAAGAGGCAGTGGTACGTTTGCTTGGTTCATGTGCTGCCAGGACTTGTCATAAATCCCGCCTCAAGTTTGGCTGATAATGCAGCATTATGCAGAGGAAGTTTTGCTTTCAGTAAAGAAAAGGGTACCGTAGACAATCAGTCACAGAGAATATGCCACATCAGAAAACATCACCCTGTAATAAAAAGCACTTGCTACATTCAGTAACATTGCCCCGACAGGATCTGAAGGATGCAAACTGTGCAAGAGTCTATTGCATCTTTCATACCATATACAGCCACCCTATTCTAGGGAGCAAATGCAAGTAACCGGAGGACCTTTGTCTCACTACTTTTATTGCTGATGGCTTTACAGCTCCTTGCCCCCAGAAATAGAGGGGTCAGACACAGCCTAGAAAGTTTAATACTCTAAGAAACTTAATTTGCACTAAAAGTCAAAGTTACATTATATCCTTCGTTTTCTGTGAAATGTACAGCAGTATGTGGGAACTTTCTTTATACAGATGCTGTGGTACATATGCATACAGAGAAAACAAATATGGCTTATTAACTACAGATATAATATCCAATGACGGAAAATCAAATGTGAGTTTAGGAACCAATCACCAACATCTCTTTTACCTACCCAACGGATGCCTTCTTGAGCTTGGCACAGAGCAGTAGGTCTGTAAACAAGAAGAGATGACGTAGCTTTCGGGAATTCTCCGAGAGTTCCACCAAGAAACCATCTCTAATCAGCTGCCGGGTCTGTAAATTGGAAATCATTTTCATTTGACCATTTCAGGTTCATCAATAAAGCAAAGAAAGCAGGCTACAACAGAACTCTGATATACTTTGGCAAAAGATGAAAACTATCTTCCATATACCTGCTGTGAGCTCCAATTCATTACAAGCATTCTGCCTATTCTAGGTTTTTTTGTGTTTGCCATTGTATTCACAGTTTCCTCAAACACCAGTGATAAGACAATTTTAATCTAACCAGAAAGACAAGTTAAGGTTGGCTATAGACGGTCCAACAATTGGTGCTTTTGATTTTGAAGAACTGCTTTCTAATATTCAGGATGTTTAATCCTCAAAACTAATTTCCTGACTACTTACAACTAATGAATACCAAGTACAACATACACAAATATGCAGTTTATCAGGTGGTGCATGGTATTATTTAGTAGTACCAGCTCTGTGGTAGTCAGGAGATGGGTATGATTTGAGAATTTATTGTAAGTGTACCCTGTGACTCCAGACCATCTATTTTTCTTCAGGATTCTTCGGGATTCTCAGAATATCTCCCTGAAAGTAAAGCTAATACTTCATTCATTAATGAAGAATAATCTAAACGATCCAAAGTGCCACACATGGGGCAGTCAGTATCAAGCAATGATCACATCTGGTCTCAGAGCTCAGCAAAGTCAATTAAGGATGATGAGATGTCTCGCCATCTATGGCCAGCCTATGGCTGAAGTGTACCACATCCTCCTCCCGTAACACTTTCACCACCCAGCAACGCTGTAGCAAAGCAGCTGCTAAACAAGGAGGTGACTATACAAATGATTATAGAAATATAACAATCTGGGAAACATTAGTGAGAGGATAGAAAGCCATTTCTTATCAAACACTGATCTCACTTGTTCCACAGTAGTGAATGTTTCTCTGTATTCCTCACCTCTCCCTTAGGTGTTGTGACTGCAGTTCTCCGTGGATCAATGTCCTCATTGATACTAGAAAGAAAATTCTGGGAGATACGGAGAGCATCTTGTAGCAATGGATAGTCCGGGTGGTCAGCAGGAGTATGTTTAAGGAGATCCTGAAATACAGATATTATATATATGAACATACTAATACTTTTTGGTAACATTTTTTTCCTTCTGTTAACAGCAACAGCATGCTGCTAAAGCTGGCCATACATGACTTGAATTTCGGCTCAATCCTAATGAATCTGCCAAAATTCAAGCCATGGGTGGCCCTGCAAGCAACACCTAGCTCAACAAAAGTCCATTTAAAATTAGATCGAGCTGGGTGAAAAATGATCTTTTGAACAGCATCCTATTAGGTTAGCTTTTTTTGTGTAGAGAGCCTTATAACAAACCACTTGGAAGGATATATAGCAGCTCCACAGCTGAAACAATGTCAAACTAATTTTTTGGACAATTTTGAGTACCAAAATGTTGCTCCACCCCCTACTGTTATGGGTTCTGCTTTTTGCCAAGATGGTTGCTATACCACCACTAGATCAGCAACTGAAGTGAGGTATGTTTGTATACTAGCTTTGCAACCTATGCTGTTATTTAATATGTGGAGGCCTTGTTTTGTACATTAATCATCATGCTAGGGAAGGCCCTTTAATGAGCCATAATAATAACAAAACTAATCGATTAATCGATAAAGAGAATAGTTGTCAACTATTCTCATCATCAATTAGTTGGTTGGATCCCCTAGCTCTCTTCTCTAGGCTTGGAGGAGGGCACAGCAAGCAGTAGGCAGGTGCAAAAGCACGCCTGCTATCGGCTATTGCAATTTAAAAAAGCCAATAGCAGGCTGGCTTTTGCACCAGCCCACTACCTGTTGTATTTACATTCTGCTGCCATTTGCGGATCCTTACAACTGGCAGTTGTCATTCCCTGGTTGAAGCTATTCAAGCGCCATGTGCTTAAAATACAATTATTACAAATTATAAATAAAAAGGTGGGGGAAAAATCATTTTCGGATCAGGCTGACAAATTCTGCTGCTGGAGGAGCGTTGCAGTGCCATTCATTTCAATGGCACCCCAAACGCTCCTCTTTCCCACAGTGTGATCACCCGCACTGGTAAGCACGGTGCCGCAATGCTATGCTTTCCACTGCAGTGCGATTGCAAAAAATTGTGCATGCAGTTTTATTCTAAAGTAAACTTTATGTTTGTAACTCTGCATTTGTGTATTTTGTTTCAAATTAACCTCTTGCAGTCCGCCCGTAGTAAAAAAACGGACGGACGGCACTGCTGCATTTGCGGGTTGCCGTCTCCAGATGGCAATTTTTTTCTGCTCGCGCGCGCCCCCTAGCAGGCACGCACGGGCAGAAAAGACCCGACGATTTAACACACCCGTTACCGGGTGTTTCACATATAGGCGACCAGCGGGTCCATAGCCCGCCGATCGCCTATATGTGCTCGTTTTTTCCCCCCCTGACCCCTCAACTTGATTCCCGGGATCCGCTGCCCCATCTTGGATCCCGGGACCGGCTCCGAGGGCGTCAGGAGGAGGAGGACGGGAGATCAGCTCCTTGCTGATCTCCGTCCGGGCTGTGAATGCAGAAGTGATGTGTATTACATCACTTCCGCATTCACCTGTCAGTCATCTGGCTGCTATAGCCAGAGAGAAGAAGCTGATAAAGCAGATCTCTGCTTCATCAGCTTCTTTTGGGGTCCACAGGTGATATTAGGGGTCCTAGAGACCCCTAATGTCTCCATAAAGAGGACCTGTCAGTGTGCCTTTGCTATTATATAGGGGGATTGTTATCCCCCCATATAATAGCAATAACAATAAGTGCAAAAAAATAAATATAAATAAAAAAAAATAAAAGTAACACATAAAAAAGTAAAATAAAATAAAAGTCACATATAAAAAAAGGGGAAAAAAACCCCCCAAAATGTTTAACTCCCCCACCCCCACGTTTACGCGCCTATAAACGTAAATACGCGTCCGGTGCCCCAGCGCGCAAAAATTACAATTGCGCTACACATGTTACATATCGCCGCGAACGTCGCAGTGAGAGCAATCATTTTAGGGCCATCAATCACTGATAACACTAAACTGATGAGCGGTAACAGCTTTTAAAGCGTCGCCTATGGCCAATTTTGGGTATTATCGTTTTTTGAGGTTTCGCGCGCGCACGCAATTTTAAGGCTTGACATGTTTAGTGTCTTTTTACCCGACGTGACCCCATCTTTTATATTTTACCAAAAAATTGGGTAATAATAAATGTTTTATCATTTAATATAGGGGAAACTGTTTTTTTTTTTAAATTTCGGTAATTTTTCCTTAATATAGTAAAAAAATAAAACCCCCAGTGGTGAATAAATACCACCAAAAGAAAGCTCTATCTGTCCCCAAAAAAGGGTATAAAATTAATTTCAGAACAGCGCTGCATGACGGAATAAATGTCAGTCAAAGTACCGCAGCGCTGAATACTGAAAAATGGCCTGGATGGGAAGGGGGTTTAACACCGCGGATGTCAACTGGTTAAAGGAGAACTATGGGGTCAGGGCTTTTCCCCATAGTTCTCCTTAGGGTCACTGGAGAACACAAACTAGCCTTCTCCAGTGACCCACAGCTCGCGGTATACTGAGACGCTGCAGCCGGAACGGATCTCGACATTGCTGTCGAGATCCACTCAGCTGCGTGATTGACAGCTGGATCTGCCTATCCAGAGGCAGAGCCAGCTGTGCCCACCCTGTCCGTTCCAACAGTCAGCGCTGGAGGATCGGGGAGGGGGGGGAATCCCTGAAGGGAGCCGTGAGTGACAGTCACGGCTCTCTGCAGGGATAGATCGAGAAGTGAGAGAGCGACGGCATGTGTTCGCTTACTTCCCGATCTACTGAGCCGACCTGTGACAGTTTCATTGTCACAGGTCGGCTCAGATTATGAGGCTGAGTGAAAATCACTCGCCTCATAATTCACCTTTAAGTACCTTATTTTATTCATTTTTTTTTTCAATTTGGCCAACTAATCGATTATGAAAATAATCATTACTTGCAGCCCTACTTGTATTTCCTTTCCATATGATTTATCATCATCGGTGTGAAACTTTTCTTGTTTCTGGATCACAGATGCCAACACTAGGGGGAGATGTTCTGCTTCACATGTGTACGTCAATATAACCATTGCCATGTGTCAAACAAATGAAGTGCATCAACAGTACATTCTGATTTAAAGGATTCACATGTGACCGGACCAGGTTTGAGGTAGAACTCCACAAAAGAGACGTAAAGCCATCCAAAATCTGGATGGAGTTCCTGTTATGGGCTTGGTTTACAGATGGGAATTTCGGTATATACTGTTACTAAAACTTCTATTATATGAATTTGTATTTGAACAGAGTATCTCTAAATTCATTGCAAACAGATAACAAAAGTTGAATTTGCAATTAAAAAAATATATATAAATAAATAGAAGTAATCCAGAAAGAAATTATGTTATTCTGTAAAACTGAAGGAGATATTCAAAGAGCATCCAAAGAAACAAGCCTATACCATATGGCATCAGTGGGCCACTGACTAGGGCGGCAAGGATAGAGGGGGAAGTACCAGGCCTCTACTTTTACAGACTGTGATAACTGGGTCCTTAATTTGTTTTCCTCATCTAATCCCCTATGGAAGTCTGTTGCTAAATTCAGCTAGAATAGTGGAAGGGAAGGGGTGTAGGGAATGCTGAGAGGAGTTACATTGCCCTTCATAGTCTGGAAACATAAAACAATGTATTATTTATCTTGTTTGGTAGTTTGTAGAGTGGAAAAGTAGTTCATATAAAGAAGTTTACATACGTCTCCAACAGAGAATTCAAGTAGTGGTTTTTACTAAAATAATCTGATGACAGAAGGGGTGAATATTATACCAAAGGGTATCATCATATAGGTATGCATACGGCAGCCGGATGTCCTAAAGAATTCTGGGGGGAAAAAATGCATCAACCCTTGCAGTGGGGTTACTGCATTGCAATGATTAACTGCTTGTTTTAGCCTAGGGACTAAAATAAAAAAAATGTATACCCACCCGAACCTGTCACAGCGCTCCCACCAGCCTGTCTCCTCCTAAGCTGCAGCAATTCGTATGTCCCTCGAAGTCCTCACGTCCTATACACTGTGTATAGAACGTGATGACTCGAGGATCCTTAGACTGCTGCAGCAGCAAGGTGGTGGGGTGGGGAATTCTGGAAAAACCGGTACAAGATGAAGCCAGCTCTAAGGATCAGAGGAGTATATAACTTATTCATTTTAGTACCTAGATGAAATCGAGCACTCAACATCTTAACACTTGCAGTGCAGGGGTAGCCCCACTGCAAGGTTTCATAACAATATTCCATGGAGTTCTGATTTAATAAAGCCCTTCAAACAGACCTATTCTCGAAAAAATAAAGTACTGACTCATAATTTTTCTATTATTATTTAGAATGAGCTTGTGTTATTATTATGAAATGATATTTAGAATGAACTTGTCTTATTATAATTAACAATAATGTTTAGAATGAACTTATCTGAGATATCTTGATGTTATAAACCAGCCGTTCATTAATTTCCTGATAACATCATACTAGTCATGCTGTGACTCATGTATATCACAGTGATGTTTGGTTTAAAAATATAAAGCTACTCACATGCAGAACTAAAGTACTCCGGGTCACACGATCTATAGGCTTGTACAGCAGAGCTATAATGAGAAAAAAAATATCATTAGCAGAAGATAAAAGTTCACCCGCAGGAAGGGTGGACTGAGCAAACAATGACAAAGCCAAGGGTGACACTCAATCTACATTATTATATTCGGCAGTTCACGAACGTTATATGATCAGGGCACAGACTGGTTCTCCAACTCCTCTGCACATGACACGATGGTATAGATTCTTATATCGCAGGAGATTTATTTCTCTAATACCAGGTTTTGTATTTCTTTTGCAGATATTGGGAGAGAGTCATCAGAATTTTTAAAAAAACAGCTCAATACAACAAGTTTAAGCACACCATAAAGTGCAAATTATACAAAGAACACATGAGAACTTTAAAGTTGAACTCCAGACAATTTTTATTAATTATGTTTTCAATAGGTTGGGGAGGCATTAGAACGTCTGTCAGGTCTGATTTCCCTGAGTGGTCACTGTCATAGATAGTGAATGGAACAGGGGAAAAAAACACTTTCTTTTTTGCAGTAGGGTGGGGAAGAGTCCTCTGTGTCCCTGCCAGGTAAATAAACACCCTTGACTACCTGTGTGGTAAAAACGACAGACACTAAGCAGAAACCTCCAAAAAGGATCCTTTTTCCATAAAATGTAGTAGGAAGTTAAGTAGAACTATTTATTTCTAAATGATGATGTGTGCATAGTTACACTAAACATATTTTGTGGGGCAAATTCAGAAAATATTAATCTTGCAGAATCACAGCCTGGGGATTAGGTGTTCCCAGAACACCAGGTTACAAGCAGAGTGTCACACATGCACTACCATAAAAACAAGAGCCATAAGCATGCAGGTCATACACCTTCTATTTAGGTCTATGACAAACATATCATTTTGACTTATGTGATCATTTAATACAAGAGCTATGTTACTAAAGATATCACAAGGGGGCCTGGAATCTAGTTTCAATGCATGTGTGCATACTCCTACATAATACTACAGTCTGATGGAAATATTCACAGATCAAGTGTACACAATAAATGCATTTACATAAAAGTGATTACAAATTTTGAAAATGTTCATCCTTGAAATATGAATATTGCAACACTCCCTATAATGGGCCAAAGTGTGATTGTATATAGTCACGGTTCTTCATATGGTGGTCTAAGTAAAGAACATTTATCTCTATGCTGACTGAATATTACCAAAACCTGCACCATGGAACTCACAAAGACTATTCTTAGGCTGAAGATCCATCATATGGGACCCAAATCGTGAATTAAAGAAAGAAATGTCACAATTAGAGGACAGACAAACTGTTATGTAAAAGCCTCATCTATGAACATAAATGTATCTTATTTGTGTATCACTCGGCTGTAGATCCTCCAATCATCTCTGAATTGGTGCGGACACTGTCCTTCCTTCTGGAGGGGGGCTACTTTTGTTCCCCATGGTTCCTGTGTGTGTTGTAAAGTAGCCACCACTCCAAGCTCGCTCCTGTGATGGAATACAATCTCATATTTAGTTTACTAATTTATATCGAGGTTGTAGTCTATCTCAGGAGTGAGCTTGGAGTGGTGGCTACTTTACAACACACAGGGACTATGGGGAAGAAAAGTAGCCACCCTCCAGAAGGAAGGACAGTGTCAGAACCAATTCAGAGATGATTTGAGGATTTACAGCCGAGTGATACACAAATAAGACACATTTTTGCTATTATTTAGGGTACTTGACTGTATTTTTAAGATTCAACTCCTGCGTTTAGAGTCACTTTAATTAAACGTTTTTAGACCGAATACTTCAATTGTGACTGGTTCTTTCTTAAAGGTCGCTAAACTAGGAACAAGAGGAGATAATAAGAAAGTAGACTGTAAAAATAGAAACCTAGTAGGAAGTAATATTTCTGACACACGCAACTCCCTGATTCGTTAAAATGTAACTTTTGTCATATTATTAGCCTAAAAGGGCAGTTAAGAACAGGACACAAAGCAGAACACCACAAATGTAAAATATATCTTTATATTTAGATATAGCAGTTTAGCAGTTATTCAAGTTGAACTCTGGGATAAGCAAATATTGTCTAAAAACAAGAGCCATGTGTATTATATGAACCTTGGGTGTGTTTTGTTTATTTCTTCCAGGTGTGTATAGTAATCCGGTGTGAAACTTTGCCTCTGTGCAGGAGCTTCCTGTAATAAAGACCAGTCACTGCTTCTCTCTCTACTTGTGCAGGATGACTGGTCTTGTCTCCACCCCCTCCTGTACGTTTCTGCAGGCAGCCTGTAGTGGGTGGGGCCCTCCCACATCTCTGCTTTCTGCACAGCCTATGTACAGCACAGTTCCTGCGGGTGAACTTTTATCTTCTGCTAATGATATTTTTTTTCTCATTATAGCTCTGCTGTACAAGCCTATAGATCGTGTGACCCGGAGCCAGACTAACATGGAGTTGATTTAAAGTGTAACACTGTTCAAAGTTCTTTTTCACTTTTCTGTCTGTTCTGGTGATAAGTCAGGAAGAGAAATCCCAACAGAGCCGCAGTCAGTATGAAATACCTTGTACAGGCTGTAACCATTTCCATTTCCCTCTATCCAAAAGGGAAAAATATTGGCTGGAGATGACGTTTAAACTGAACCCGTGTTGTGTTTATATCTCTAAACCCCAATCCTGTGTGTCTGGGTACGACTCCAAGGCCTAGGTTGTAGAAAGGTTCTCCACTTCTGTCCAGGTCACAACTAAGCCACCAAACTCTGCTCCCACTCCAGTGATCCTTAAGGTGCTGACACTGCACTAATAAATGCCAGGAGCAGGGCTATGTGCACCCTTTGACAGAACCTGTATATACAACCTGGACCTGCGATCCATAGTCCTCTCCAAGCACACAGTAAGTGTAACACTGTAGGCTACATTCATCAAATTGGAAGTATACCACCAATGGGGCACTGTCCAGGGACTTATAAAAAAAACACCTCCGGGTCCAGCCGACCCACCTCATGTCCAGGGTCCCGGGTGCTGGAAAAGAATTCCGACCAACTTGGCACGCACACACCGGAGAATGAGGAAATCTATCAGTGTGTTCACAATTTTTGCCTCCAGTCTTATTTAATATTCTTCAATGCATATTCCCAAGCGCGGCAACCCACATTACCAAATCATAATTCACTCTGTTTAAGTCATAGCAGTATTTATATTTATTAAGGCCACTTATGCCAAACTGTTCAGCATACAGTCTTTTTCAATAAATCGTCCTGGAAACCCTCATTCTCTTATTTACTCCTCCAACTAATCCTTCTGTCAAAGTCATTTTTATAATCCTTCATATAGTTCTTGGCCTTTACAGCACAGGGAAGTTGGGGAAAGGTTCATAGCCTCGTGGCCGGAAGTATATAATTAAACTGACAAATGGTCAATATCTCTGGTGGTATAGCTGTGATGACAAGCACCTCAGAACCTTACAGTCAAGCGTGTGGAGTTAGCTGTTGAATTGTGCCCACTATAATGAGCCTACATAGATTGTAAATATAAGTGAGGGATTATGATTACATGCACTTTAGGATGTCATCTGAGCCCCAACTTCATCAGACTGTTCTCTGTACAGCCAGGGACCCCTACTGCCTGTGCTTATAGAGCTTGCTAAAGCCAGGAACAGCAGCCTCTTTGTGTACAGATGCCCATGACTACTTTGCCAAGTCCAGTGTACAGTACTGGAATAGGGAAACATTCTTTTCATTATGCACTGTGGCCGGCAGCGAGTAGCCTGGTCACTCTTTGATGTAGGCAGGACTCAGATGGCCATCAATATAAAACAATGACAGCATGGTGGTGCAGCCCATGATATCACAATGAACTCCAGGCTCAATGGTGAGTATTGCTTCTTTACATGGATCCGCTTACTCTAATGTTAAAGAGCTACAGTAAATAATCCAAAAATATTGTACAATCAGCTTCAGATTTACCATCAAGAATGCAGTGCAAGGGCCTTCCTTAAGAATTCATTGATTGTGTATCCAATCAGGTAGCACCCTGCACTTCATATGGTTGGAAAACCTAAATGATATCATACAATTAAATCGTAACACGTGGCCAAAGTTGCAGTAAAATAGCGATTTTTGTTTGCAAATGAAGCTGTTAGTTATCACCTCCCATGGCGAGCAACGGCATCACCTCTGTCATAGTTATTGTGATATGTTCTAGTAGTCCACGTCACCAGTTCTTTCAATACACAAGGTGGCACTTGGGCCATTACCAGAACACATAAGAGCCTGATAACAGCTTTATTAGCACAGTAAGCAGAGCAGCATAGGCATGGGAACTGCTGTCAGTACTCAGCTCAGGGTCACTTCCATCTCAATCTACAGTGATTTAAATTATCTTTTCTGAGCCTGCCATACCCATTACATCAAGAATGAAAGATTCAGATAAAAATAGAAGTGATGTTATGTGTTGGGAGGAAGAATTATTGCTCATCAAACCCAACTTTGTTTCATGCCTTTAAAACACAAGTTCTCCTATTTGTTTTAAGCAGCAACGATTGAACAGAAGATGTGCATGTTGCATAGGTTCACACTGTAATATAATATATGTCACACCCCAGAGTCTGGAGCAGTGACAGGCCTGACTTGCTCCCTCAGTTTTAAACAAACAATACTGGAGCACTGCTCATTCTCAACCAATGAGTCTTTGTGTCAAAATTTGCAAGTCAAATGTGGCATTTGGATTAGCAGAGGCTCGATCACCACACTGATGTCAAACAACTAAGACCCTATTGCTCTCACAAGTGGTGGCAGACTCCATGTTAGTCTGGTAAGATCACCTTATTTATGGGTTTTTTTTCTTTCTTCACAATTTTCAGTCAATAGCCTCAATTCAAAATGCATAATACTGGAGTTATTGTTATGCCTGGGTGTTATTTTCTTATTTTGACGCTTTTGCTAAATAAATCAATGAATGTTCTAGATGAGTTTACCACATGCACATACAGACAGTCCCTGGGTTACAGACAGTCCCTGGGTTACGAACAAGATAGGGTCTGTTGGTTT